GAAAGTCAGACTAGGGGCAGGGAGAGCATAATCACATATACCTGCTGATTTTGAAAGCAAGTGGGCGAAATGCGGCCGGTAAAAAATTGGTGATTGTTGCGGCAGAGAATTTAGATCATGATTTCGACGGTGAAAGTAAAATCATTGATGCATGTTCAAGCATTTCCCATCGAGATGTACGGCGGCTAGCGGCCTAGGCCGTTCAATATTGGGGGGCGTGGGGGCTCAGGGCTTCGACTATCATGACTTATAAGTGGACTATCTCCTCTGAACTTGCTGACAACGCTGGTACGCCTTCCGCGGAGATCAGAGCGTCGTGAAATTGACCCACTGCCGAGACAACCCGTTTTTGGGGGGATTATGAGAAGCTTTTCGAGAGATAAGACCTGGTCTGTCGATGATAAGCGTCTCCCCATCCCCTTTTTCAATCTGGATTCCTCGCGGTGTCGTGGAGAAAATTGATGTGAGCTCTTAAAAACCCGACGGAGATTAGCTCGAAGGCGTGAATGGGGAGGGCGTCGAAGAATTCGTGGGCCATTATGAAGGGCATTTTTTCGGGAGCTTTTTTGTGGGATGGTGGGTTAGCGAGGAGAGGGGAGAGAAGAGACAAAAGGGGGGGAAGGAGGGAAGAGGGAAACGTACCGATGGGTATTGATTTGATGGTCTCGGTCCAGACGATGGGGAGGGCGTTGTACTTGCACACGCTGTGGTAGCCGACCTTGGACTCGGTCATGGGGGCGTCCTCGCCGCAGAGGAGGTTCTTCTGGGCTACCCTCAACTCCGGGCTGGCTTCAACCATGTAAATGGCGTCGATGCTGTTGGCCATAGCGGGGAACCTCTGGATGGTCTGTAGCAGGTTAGTGATGCCCGAGAGGAAGCACAAGCTCCATCACTTAATCACCTACCCGTAGCATGTCATCCATCAGGGTGCCCCGGCCAGGGCCGACCTCGATCAGCTCGACCCCCTTGCTCCGACGACCCTGGGCCATCCACTCAGTCACGTACCAGATGGCACAGAGCTCGCCAAAGACTTGGGAAATCTCAGGAGACGTGACGAAATCGCCCTTCAAACCGAACTGGTCGCGACCCTCCTCGAGTGCGCCGGTGTAGTAGCCGCCGATATCAGCAGTCAGGCACATGCGCATGTAACTGGCGAGTGGTACGGGGCCGGTTGCCTAGTTGATGTAAGTAAGTGACTGCTACCGGGAAGACGCATTAAAATATCAAAAGTATTTCCCGAGAGACAAACTAAACAGAGTGAACACACCTCAATGGCTTCACCCAATTGCTTGGCTAAGGGAGTCGACCATTTTCTTTCTTCACCGAGGCCATCATGCAGTTGTTCGGGACTCTTATTTTGTAAGTTGGCGGGCGTTGAATAAAGGTGACGTGATGCGCTCAAGCTCAGACTTGAACCGTGTTGTGATGAACTTCGAAGTGAGTTGAGAGTGAGAGGAAGACTTTTGTGAGCAACACTTTTGGGTTGCACAGCACCGTGGCGCGCGCTCCTCAATGCTCTCAACGCTGCAGACTTCATGTTGCAGGGTTTGAGCAGCCGATATCACGATCACGATCACTCTTGCATAGTTTGGGATTGGGCTGGAGTGAGGTCGTTTGCCCGTTTATATCTTCTGTGGAGGGGAAGCTGAAGCTTAAACTCGAGCTTCAACAAGAGCTTCTGGTGCGTTACACCCCCCCAAAGTTCTTATCAATTCTTATCGATTGAGCTCCCCTGTTCATCCCAATTCCCAATTCCAACCCTAACCCCGATGCTACCCCCTGAGCCCCTGTCTGAGTGATGTCAGTGCTCAAAGCCACATTGACAAGTCTCGTGCCACATGTCAATTGCCAATTGCGATGGCGTTGGAAAGTTCGAGGTGTTGCAACCACTTTTCCCTCAACCACTCCGATAAACAACCGCAATAATGGCTCGACTGATACCCGGCATAACGCCAACACCCATCCCTCGACGGGCTGACCCCCTGACCGACCTCACCCTGCTACTGAGCCGACTGCAGCGCACCATCCTACATGCCGACGCCGAGCGCGAAGCCCGGTTACGGGAGAGCGACTTTGAGAGGGAAAAGGCCCATGCGGTAGGCACTCATGCAATTTCTTGTTTGGGATTTAAGATATCTGTAGACGGTATGCTGACTGATCTAGAACATCCACTATGCGCGATCGCTCCTCACAAAACTCGAGCAAGAAGCCTTGGCGATCAAGATCCATTCCCGGCGACAGGATGCCCAGGCCGATCTGGTGCGGAAAAAGGAGGTGCTCGATCAGCTATCAGAACGCCTCAGCGATCTAGCCGAGTTTGCGGCCGCGATGAGTACCAGCCAGGGCGACCATGATGACGACACCTCCGATGGGGAAGATCTCTTGGCCGACATAATCGCGACACCAAGCGAGAGCATGAACTCGACGACGTCGCCTGACATGCCACCAGAAGAGCCCAACGAGCCATCAGATGAATTACCATCCCCTCTAGAACCGCCATCACGCCCTCCGCCCGAATCCACGCAGCAGCAAACAAACACAACCCGTCAACCCGAACAACCCTCTACCTCAACCCCCGCCTCAACCGCACCACAACCAGCAGCAACCACCACCACCACCACCACCACCCAAACCCTTCGCCCACGCCACCCCGAAGCAACCCCATCCACCATCAGCTCATCCTCCTCAAACCCCCCACCGCAAGCCTCCTCCTCCTCCGCCACCACCTCCGCCCTCTTCTCCAACCACCGCCCAACCAACCACACCACCACCGCCATCACCACCACAGAAGCGATCCTGGACCACCAGCGCGCCGAGCAAGACGCCCTCTCCGAGTCCATCCTCAAGCTCGCCTCCGACCTGAAAGCGTCCTCCAAAGCCTTCAGCGCGTCGCTGGACGAGGACCGCGAGGTGGTCGACCGCGCCGGCCAGGGCATCACCCGCACCGGACAGAACATGGAGGGGGTTACCCGGACGATGGGCGCGCTGCAGCGGATGACCGAAGGGGAGGGGTGGTGGGGCAGGATGAGGCTGTATGCGATTGTGTATGGGTTGATGGTGGTGTTGGTGTTGGTGGTGTTTGCGTTGCCGAAGTTGAGGTTTTAGGGGGGTTGGGATTTTGGAGTTTGAAAGGGTGGGCTGTTACTATTACTACTGTAATTCATATTGTTCTCTTTTGGTTAAACAGCTAGCGAGCGATCGGGGGGTTGACTTGGATTTTGATGTGATAATGATGATGATATTGCTATTTTGTATCCGTCCATTCGGATAGCTGTCTACCTATGCTAGGAACGCGTGTACGAAATAGGGGTAAATCATCGAGTCTGAAACTGGGGCCCTCTGTCCATCCACAAATCCCCCATTCCAAAATGAGTAACGCCTTGACAATCTCTGCTTCTTAGACTGTTCATCTTGAGTTTTGAATGTGGCTGCGTCATTGGCTCTTCGGCCTTCGCTCTCTTCTCGTGGGCGTGGGTTGAGCATCGCCGACTCCGTCATTCAGAGAGCGCAGACTGTGTTTGTGTTGCCCGCCCCAGGGAGATCAACTCCGGTGGGCCAACCCAACGCGGGCGCCGTCCCTGACGAAGAGGCGGTGGGATTGTGCTGGGCCTTGGTTTCGTCTTGGGAGGGCAGGGGATTGACCGTCATGGTTTGGTTGGGTTGTGGCGAGCGTGCCGGGGTGATAAGCGAGGGTGATTGACGGTGAGAGGCGGGAGCGCTTGGACATGTGACGATGGTCGGCCGAGTCTTGAGGTTGGCGCTGTCGATGCCGTTTCCGTTGCCGTTGCCGTTTGCGCTTGCGGGGACAGAAGCTGTGGTGTTTACTTCAACATCAGCCATGACAGCGTTGTTGGGAACTTCAGTTGGGATGTACTCCTTCGGAGCCCAGCCGACAGGCTTGCCTCCAGTCTGGGCACATGTCAGCTTGCTTCTCTTTGCTGCCCTCATGGGAGGTCAACTCACCGGCGGCTGATATTGAAAGACGCGATTCCCCGTGGTCCCCGCCTTGACGAGTCGCTGCATCCAGGGTATGCCGGTCTTCATCCGGAAGAAGGACCGAAACAAGGCAAACTCGCGGGCAAAGATCCCCGGGGAGTGGCTCGGACGGTGTATCTTAGCCTGTGTGTCGCCCTTTTTCTTGTAGTACTTGACCACAAACCAGTAGAGGTGCGGGCTGGCGTTGTTGGATTCAAAGATCTAAGGAGTCAGAGTGTCACCGGTTCGGGTTGCGAGTGGGACGCGGAGCTAGGTGTGTTGTATGTCAAAATGGATATGCTGGAAATGGACTGCTAACGGGGGCGGAGGGTGAAGGGCCAATTCCTTCGAAGCAATCTGGAGGAATCTGGGAAAAGGTTAAAGGGGGTAGGATGGGATGGATGCCACTGGGTTAAAACAACAAACCAAAGCTCCACTCACCGAAAGGATATACCGCTCCCCCTGGATTCCAGCATCCTCGTCGTCTCTAGTCAGCACCACCTCGTATTGAAAGAACGTCCGGTCGCGGTAAAGATGGTAAAGGTCTAGGTAATCAGCCAAACTTCAAAACCAAAGTCAAGGAGATACATACTCTGATTGACCTCCCTCACGGCCTTTTCAAGCCCCTTGATAACCATCAACCGCTTCCGCTCCCGTTCTCTTTCCTTTTTCAGCGCCCGCAGATGCGAGTACGGCTCCTCATCCAGCCGCTTCCTGTTGAGCATGGAGTTTTCCAGCCAGTCCAGCGTCACAATGTGACAGGTCTTGGAGCGTTTGAGCGCCGCCTTTACTATCCCGCAGTACACACATTAGCTATTCCTCACCCCAAGACACTTACCCCCCAAATAGCTCGCAAAAGAAAAACAAAAACAAAAAACAAATATACATACCCAACCTCCCCGCCCGCCTAAACTCCTCCCCCGTACAAACCACATGCGTCACCTCCCCATCCCCATCCCCGCCCCCATCTCCCCCCTCACCTACACCCACACTCAGACTCCCACCCCCAGCGACGACGCCCACACCCACACCGTCCCTCACAAACCGGCCCTCCCGCAGCCCGACCCAGCGCGCGATGTTGGTGTCGGACCACTGGGCGCTGCCGCCGAGGCTGCCGACCGCGGCGATGGTCAGGCCGCGGAAGATGGGCTTTTCTTTGCGGGTGCGCATTGTGAGGGCGGATGGTTGGTGTGTGTGTTGAAGGAAGGTATGGAGAAATTAGGACTGGGGTGTGAGAGAATAGGGTGTTGAAGGGAGGTATGGAGAAGTGAGAAATGGGATAAATGGGATGTGAGAAGGTGGATTTGTTGATCAATGAGTCTAGTAATCGGAAAGAGGAAATGTTGGAGAGGGTTCCTCAAGGTTTGCGATTTGAAAGGGGCCTGGGACGGTTCAAGAAGGATATGTCTCGGGAAAGAACTTCTAGAAGTGAACTGCAAAGTAACGGTTGGTAGAAAGGATGCGGCTCAAGGATAGAGGGAAAGGGCAGAACTTGGGGAGAGAATTAACGAGGGTGTTCATAGAAGAGGAAGTAGGCAGAACCCAACGGCGGACGAGATGTGTGATGGAATGGTTGCTGAACTGCAAGACTCTCAACGGAGTGGGAAGAAATCAACTCTGCGGGAAGTGTCCTTTCCAGTAGAAGGGTTTGGTGTAAAGATGGGGGTTGCCGGGCTGCCTCCAGATAAACCTAGAGCCACTGCTCCTGCTTGCTCGTAGCTTTTGCCCACATTCAACCTCCTTTTCGGAATTATGGAGAAGGAAACGATGGCTTGGACGGATACAGGCGAGAAACGGGTGCACACGCCGCAGCTTTTAGAACCAGGGCGGGTGTAAGTCTGTCTATGCTAGGATGGCTGTAGTCTCGACATCTAGGAAGGAGTCTTGTGAGATAAAGCTGGCGATAAAAGAACACAGTGAAGTCTGACACCTCGTAACCAAACCAATAGTACGCATCGAGCCCGTCCAGAAGATTGGAAACCGGGACTGACACAAGGGACAGCACCCCATACTCCCACGCCCAGTCACACGCAACAACATAGTATGCCAAGCGAACTAAAATTCGAAACTATCTTTTCTAGTAAACCCACACCATCTACCGAATAGCCTTCGCCGCCTTCACAAACCCCCTAATCTTCTCCAAGCTCTGCTTACCCTCCACCTCCACCCCACTACTAACATCTACACCCAGCACCCTCTCCGCCAGCGGTCCCAGCGCAGCCACCGCCTCAACCACATTCTCCGGTCCCAGCCCACCGGCCAACAAAACCGACAACCCGCGATCCCGCTCCAACGCCGCCTTCACCGCCTCAATATCCAGCAACTTCCCCGATCCCGCACCCGAATCCAGCAGCGGCACGGCATGGTACCCGCGCACGCCGAGGCCGATCTGGCCCGGCCTGAACTTGCGCACGACCGGCACGGGGATCAGGCTGGCCCACTCGAGCGGCTCGTCGCCGTGCAGCTGGACCACGTCGAGGTTGTACAGCCGCTGCTTTTCGAGCACGTCCGCCAGGGGCTGGTTCATGAACACGCCGACGAGGAGCGGGCCCTGCTTGCGGAGGACTTCGCTGGTGAGGGTGAAGAAGTCGGTGGCGGCGGGGAGGACTTGGATGGTTTCTGAAGCGGTGGTGGTGGTGGGGTTCTTTCGGCTGCTGTGGACGGCGTCGGAGATGGCGAGGGCGGTCTCGTGCGAGACGCAGCGTTTGGTGCCGGGGACGAGGATCATGCCGACGAGGTCGGCGCCGGCTTTGATGGCCTCGGTGGCGGCCTCGGCGGTTCGGGTCCCGCAGATTTTGACCAGCAGGGGGTTGGTGGCGGATTGGGGCGCGGGCGCTTCGGGGCCGGCGCAGAGTTCCCGGATGAACTTGGAGGCGTCGGGGGCGCGCATGATGGCCTCGCCGACGAGCACGCCGTTGACGCCGTCCCGCTTGCAGTCGAGGACATCTTGGTGGGAGTTTATGCCACTGAGCGCGCACAGGAAGGTGTCCTTGGGTACCATGCTGCGTAACCGACCGGTTGTGCCGAGGTCAACCTCGAAGTTCTCTAGGTTGCGGTTGTTGACGCCGATCACCTTGGACCCCAGTTTGATCGCGGTGGCCATCTCTTCGGTGTTTTGCACCTCGACCAACGGCTCCATGCCTAGAGAGAGCGAGTACTCGTAGAGCCGCTCCAAGAGCTCGAAATCTAGCATCTTCACGATCAGCAGCACGGTATCGGCGCCTGCAAGCCTTGCCTCGAGGATCTGGTACTCCTCAAAAATGAACTCCTTCCGGAGAACCGCCGGCCGGTTGGGCATGGCGTTGAGGACCTGGCGCACGGCCCGGAGGTCCTCGATGCTCCCCTTGAACCACTCCGGCTCGGTGAGAACCGAGATGACGCTGGCGCCGGCAAGCGCATACTTGCGGGCCTGGCTGGGTGCGTCGATGTCAAGCGCAAAGATGCCCTTGGAGGGCGACCCTCTCTTGATTTCGGCAGCAAGGGCGACGTCGAATGGGGAGTTGCGCAAGCGATCGACGAGCGAGATTTGGGGCGGTGCGAGGTTTAAGTCGTAGGCGGCCTGCAGATCAGAGGGCCGTTGAGAAGGAATCTCTTTCTGGGCGGCGACGGCGGCTTTCCGGTGAGCGTAGATCTTCTGGAGGATGTTGTTCTTTGGCGGGGCTGGCTTTGCGTCGCTCTTGGGTACGATCACGGCATTCTTGCTCTCTTGAGCGGCCTTCTCCAGGCGCTCGTTCTCAGCCCAGGTCCCTCCCTGCATGTGGAGGAAGTTCTTGAGCATGAGGCGTCCGTCGGCGGATAGAATGCTCTCAGGGTGGAACTGCACACCCTCAATGGTGTACTCCTTGTGACGAACACCCATGATGACGCCCTTGGAGCCATCTTCGTTGGCAATCCAGGAGGTGACCTCGAGAGACTCGGGCAGGGTGACATGAGTACCAGCCAGCGAGTGGTAGCGGGTGACGGGCAGACCCTGGGCAAGACCAGCATAGACACCCTTGGAGTCGTGGACCAGCGGTGATGTTTTGCCGTGAAGAATCTCACCAGCAAAGCTCACATCGCCACCATACACATCGAAGATGCATTGTCTGTACACGGGAGATGAGAGATGAGTCAGTGGCCCAAGCTAAATTAGATTATATTTCACTTACTGCCCCATGCACACTCCAAAAATGGGGATCTTGCCAGCGAAGTGCTTGATGGCATCACGGCTGACACCCGAATCGGTATTTGGGTGCCCTGGGCCGGGGCTGATCACCAATTGGGTTGGCTTTTTCGCAATAAGTTCATCGATGGTGATCTTGTCGTTTCTGAACACCGTCACATTGGCACCTTCAAGCACCAAGTATTGGTAGACATTCCAAGTAAAGGAGTCATAGTTGTCGATCAAGATGAGATTGGTAGCTGTTGGCACCAAAGGTGAAGGATCGGGATGGTGGGGTGAGTAATCGGTGATATCTGGGGTGGCAGGCATTTTTGTTGGTTGGTGTTGAGGGGTTGCTAATTGTTGGTTTTGTCACCGAATTCGGAGCGAGGGGAAGTTGCAAGATGCTGATGAACAGACTTTAAAAAAGCTTATTTTCGCTTCTCGTCCTGCGTTTTGTGGTGCTGCACAATGAAGCAAGCAATTCTTTTTTGCAAGAAGTTGACACCCATCCAGTCTTGAGTCAGGTTGGTGAGTCACGTCTCAGATGTGGGAGGACCCAGACGAATGTGTAAGAAAGGCGGATCGTGAAAAGCAACCAACTCTTATATCGTCAGGCACAGCAGTTGAGTGACCGGGCTAACAGATCGGATAGGCTGATGGAGGGGTTGCCAAAAGAGTCAGCGGAGGCCAAATCCTTGTGCCGCAGCTTACAGCGTCAAAGTGACGCTAACGTTAACAGCAGGCGGGCCTTGGGACTATGCAGACAGTGCTGGGCAGAAATGCAGCTGCAGCTCTTATCGCTCTTATCGATAACAAAAAATGAGTGGATCCTAGAGCTGAAAAACAGTCGGCTAGTTCGACCGCCTGGGCAACCGCCCTGGCAGAGCTTCCGGGTTGGGACGGACCCGCGTCGGCAGAGCGCGTCCCTCACAGCAAAGGGCCCCATGCCAGGTTAGAATCGCAATTCGAGATTCCCACTTGCAGCTCCAGAGCTCTGCCACAACCACTCGCTTCCCACCACCTAGACGCGGCCCAGGTTGTCGCATTTAATATTTCAACACCGGCCGACCCTGGCCCGGATGGAGACCATTCCCAATGGCTACCTTGACCGATAGAACCTATTTTCCGCCGCTTGAGGAGTGTCTAAGCGGCAAGAAAATAATCCTGTTTGTTGCGCCGTCTTCTAGCATTCTCCCCCCCACCACATATGTATTATGTATTCTAACGTCGTTTACCTTTTCATAGCTCCTGGAGACTTGTAGCCGCTGCCCTCGAAGATCTGTCATGCGACCGACTCACCAGCACCACCGTGTCGGCCTTCCTCCGAGATGGCTACGTTCACCAGTTCTTTAGGGAGCCAACCAGGACCTTCGCACCCCCCACGAACCAGACCAAGCTCGACTTTGAAACCAAGACGGGGGCCATTAACGTTGTGCCCTCGCCAAACGACCCCTACGACCTCGATACCATCAAGGGCGACGCACAATGGCTGAGCAAGAACGTCAAGACCAACGAGGTGGCCGCCCTCCGCATTGTGCTTATAGAATACCAGTCGCGCGCTCACAGCCATCTCACCGGGCCGCTGTCCACACAAGATGTCGCCAACATTCAAGAAGCCGCCGGGGTGGGGGACGCGCAGGCCTCGGCCATCCTTGCCGCACTCAACGCGACAACGATCGCCGATGCCGAATCGACCTGGACCGACTTCGAAAGCGAGACAACCCGTCGCCAGCGCCTACTGGCTACCTATCTCTCCGAGCGGCGGTCCTTCTTGGGGGCCATCGATGCGCTCCTCGCCTTTCTTTTGCACTCGTGCTCGCCAGACGCCGGCTCGGAACTGAAGACCTTGCGGGATGGCGTATTGCAGGAGGCATTTGGCTTCGACGGCGACGCGACGAAGCCTGACATGGCCCGACTTGACGCCCTCGCCCCCACATACATCCGCACGCTCGACGACTGCTTCGTCCGAATCCATGCGCCACCGGACTCCCTCGACCTTCAAATTCTGACGGAGCAGTTGCAGGTCGACTGGGTCAGGACAGCACTCACCGAGGCCATCCATGCTATGGCGTTGATCTTTCAGATTTTGGATCTCAAAGCCTCGCATTTCGCCACGCCCGAGATTGTGACCCAGTGGTTTGCGCTCATGGACGCGTGCGAGTTCTTCGCGCCCGTCACCGGGGGCCATGAGCTCCTTGCTGAACTGGCCATGCCGCTTCACAGCCTTATCAGTGCCATTTCGTTAAAGGTGCTCAACATTGACCGGACGCTTTTATACCTAGACCAGGACGTTGATCTGTTGGAAGACGAGGAGCCTTACCTGGCTTCGTCCGACGCCCTCACCAAGATACACACCACAGTCTCGGCCGCTGCCAGTGTCGGGCTGGCTACAACAATGCCACTTGTGTTTGCTTGGTCGCTCATTCTGCACCAGATGCATATCGGATATCAGGAGCGAGCCGAACGGCGCGATCTACTACAAAACCAACGGGCACAAGCCGGCTTCGAACTGGAGTATGAGCCATCTAGCACCTCTGGGCGTCAGCGGAGGAACTCGGCCGGAAGCATCGTCTCTATTGAGGCGTCCTCGTATGATGTCTTCCTTGCCTCCCAGCAGCTCGAGCGCAACATCGAGCCGGCAGAAAATATGGCTAGGATGGCTACTGCACAGGGGCAACTCTACGGGCTCCTGGCTGAAATGGCGGTATGCTTGGGGTCCGGCCAGAGCGCCGCATTTCGGCCGGTATTAGGCGCTCGCGCCCGCTTGGTCTTCCAGGACCTCCTCAAGCGAAGCGTCCATTATGTTGGCTATCAGTCGGAACCGGTCGAGTGCCTCCTCTCCATTCTGTCCGGAGGTAGCCAATATTGGGATATCTCACCGGAAATCTCTTCCAACGGGAAGGCCTCCCTTGAAATCTACACTCGCATGCTGGATGACGACACACTCAGGACGCAATATAGCTCTCAATCTCAGAGCCGCTTCCCTTACGAATTCCTCCCGTTTTCCTCTATCTGCCGCATCCTGTCGGCGGCCTTGGTAACGGACAAGGAGAATTCCGAAATCATCACCACTTTGCTCGTTAAGACCCCAAGCCTCACTGTCGACTGGGACCCTCGGTGGGACAGGTCGTATGAGCTGGTTTTTGAAGAGGAAAACACAAACTCGTTCCGCCTGACCAGGGATATCGACCTCTTTGACGCGACGTCGAAATCCAACAGGCGAATCTCACCCGAAGAGAAGTCTACAATGCCCCGCGGGACATACGGTCGCTTTGTCACCGATGTTGGGAGGGTTGCAAAGCTGGAATTTGAACACTCTACGCTAGCTCTCTTTGGGAAGCGCCTCGAGGTGAACCTCACAGCAGGAGCCTACGACACCGGGCTGGGGTATCTGACGGTGGATGAACTCATCGAGGGAATATCGCTGTTGGCGACGGTGCTGCGCACTGAGGCTCTCAAGTCCTCCAAAACGGACGCCGACCGAGGCCTAAGGATCTTGACCGAAGCCAGCCGCTTGCTTCCGCAGGGCAAGGACATCTTGAGCATCATCTGCGACACACTCGACAGTCTGGTCGAGGAAGAGCTTGCGGACCTGGATGGCCCCAAGATTGCCGCTATGTCATCTTGCCTTCAATTCTTATATGCCGCACTCCCGGTGTGTCCAGGCCGCGTTTGGGCCTACATGGCACGCTGCGCGCTCATCAACAGTGACACCCGGTCGGGGCGCCTGTCGAGGATCACAGCTAACCTTGACATGTTCGCCGAGAGGTACGACCTACTCCTATCCGCCGTGAGGCTGTTTTCCAGCCTCGTGGAAAGCGCCATGACAAGCGCCGCCCAGAGGAGATCGGGGACTATCGTCAACGGCCGCTCCAAAGGGGAAGAGAATCCTTGGCTTGGGGCTTCGGACAAGATTGTGTCTCGGGTATCTCTCTCCATTGCTCAAACAAGTATCGATGTCTTCGAGAACTCGGCCACGTGGAGGTTTCCCTCCGAAGTTGACCGTAGCGTTTTGGTCCGGGACGTGGTAGGCATCATGCACAAATTGGTGACGTACGCACACAGCATTGGGCCGAGGGATGCTCAGAAGAGCTTGACAGGATCTCTCGCACCTGCAGCTGGGTACATTGTGGAGAGCTTTCTTTCTACTTCGTCGAGCTCGCTACGCTTCCAGCCCCTCCTCGCAACTCTGTTAGCTGCTTTCCAGATTCCCGACACGACGCTTTACCAGCGGCGCTCTCAGATTGTGTCGGAGAGACTGACGACGGTGCTGGCGTTTGCTACCACTCTGTTGCGGGTTGCTGATTACCTGAACCAAGCGTCAACCAACATCCAGACACAGCTCTTCAAGTCCGCGTGCGTTGTTGCGCGGCTCCCAGCGATTAGGCACTCCTTCCGGATGCCAGCCATCGCCCTCCTAAACGCGCTGGTGGAGAGCGCGGGGAAGAGCAGCGGCGAGCCCCCGTCTCTTCTCGGGTACTTGGGCCCGCAAGTGTCCCGTTCCTTCATCCAGATTGTCGGGCAGCTAGACATGCCGTTCGACAGAACGCCGGAAGTGGCGAGCACCTGGAAATTCTTCTCGACCATTCTCCGGAACAGGCAGCAATGGATGGCCAACTGCCTGCTCACGGGCAAGACGCCGCGCGAGGCTCTCAAGGGCGAAGCCAAGATTGCGCAGCTAACCGCGGGTTCTGTGCTGTCGACAGCGCTAGAGAAGTTGCGCTCTATCAGAAACACCTCGAGCCAAGAAACCCTCGCCATCCTTGACTTCTTCACGTCGGCCCAAAACTACTGGCCATGGACCATCTTTGCCATGCAGAGGGATAAGGCGTTTTTGCAGGAGCTTCGGGCTTATGTCCGCGACCTCAAAGCCCCCGCGCGCGGTGGCCAAAGCCCGATCCCGGCCGAGGCGTGCTATCAGTGCGAGGATAGCGGCTTAACATCGCTGAAGAACGTTTGCCATAGCAGACTAGTACCACCTGCGCCCAGATGCGCAAAGGAGCAAGAGTTTTGCTGCCGAAGGTCGTGAATGAACTTGGGACTACTTTCTCCGGGGACGGCGGTCGCAGTGTCGGACCTACAACTCGTCTTTGCATGCACAACTTTGCGAAGGAATTTCGCCCAGCGGATATACCGGAGTGCTCTACCGATGACTTCAAAGAGGACTCTGCTGGTGCCGCGGGATCTGGGGTCTCAGTACTTTTACGCGCTGGACGTTGCGGAATCCATGCTTGGCCACGACGCTGGCTGGGCTGGGTCACGCCACAACGGCTTCCGGCGAGAGATGGAGGCGGCGAACCTCAACCTTTCTTTAGTAGAGGCCGAAGTTGTGAGTCAATCTGGAGTTTACAATATGGTGTATTTGCTAATATCCGACCTAGTCGCTGTTCCATGCTTGGGAGTATCTACTCCTGGAGCTCAGCACCTGTCTGCTGCCCAAGTACGGGACCAGGCAGATGTTGCAGGTTGCCGAGCAGTGCTTCGAGGCAAACCAACGGCCGCAGCCGCCAGAGAACATTTTCGTCGTGCTCGCCCACTCGCGGGCCAATCTTGCCTTGACGCTGCTGCAGCAGACTCGCAGACTGTTCGCTCCTCCCCAAGGACACTAGCCAGCTCCTCTCACTGGTCTCCGCCACGGTCAACGAGCGTCGAGAACCCGTGGAGCAAAGACCAGGTATCCTACTTCACGCACCCTCCTCAAGATCCTGTTCGTCGTCCTCCGCGGGTCTAAGCACTCCAACAACGCCGCCCCTCAAAAACCCGCTGCCGAAAGCCCCGTCGCCGTCACCCAGCTGGTCCTCACTACGCTCGACCGCGTCGTCGCGCGCTCCTTCCGCAACCTCGCCGCGCTCGTCCACGAACCCGACGCAGCCACCACGCCCGAGGACCTCGCACTCATCACCGCCATCCTTCAAGCCTGCCTCAGCGTCCCCGGCATCGAACAATGCCAACTCCAAGTCCTCAACATCATGTCCTCGCACGACATCCTCCAAGTCGCCACCTCGCTCTTCTCCTGGTCCGACCGCCTCGCCGACAAAGGCGACCCCATCTACGGCGAGCTGGCCCTCCTCCTCCTGCTCGAACTCTCCGCGCTGCCTGCCCTCGCCGAACAACTCGCCTGCGACGGCCTCCTCGGCCACCTCACCTCGGCCAAACTCGCCGGCTTCATGCGGCGCGCCAACGTGTCCCCCCTCGCCGACAACGCCGGGGCCGCGCGCTGCTACGCCGTCTGGGCCAAGGGCGTCCTGCCCCTGCTGCTCAACATCCTCGCCGCCCTCGGCGCCACCATCGCCCCCGAGGTCGCCTACGTCCTCAACCAGTTCCCCAACCTGCTGCGCGGCTCCGTCGCCCGCATTGAGGCCCCCGGCCTCAGCCGCACCGTTCCCGTCGGCGGTGCGAGTGGCACTGGGGGGTCGGGACGCGACCGCTTCGTGGTGACGCTGGTGGCCGTGTCGGAGGTGCACTCGCTCGCGCTGCTCACGCGGGTGCTGGGGGCGTTGGGGGCCGCGAATTCGAGGGATATCCCCGAGGTGGTGTGGGATGCGGGGGCCGTGTTGGAGAATGTCGAGTTTTGGGCTGGCCAGTCGCAAGGTGTTGCGGGAGAGGCTGTTGCCGTTGGGTCCGCTGAGCTGACTGATGGCCGACGCGTGTGTCGTGGGGGGGGGTTAA